GTGGGGATGGACACGTACTCGCTGCAGGAAGCCCCCCCAGCAGCGGCTCACACGTCCCCACAGGACTGCTGAGGGAGCCACCACACTCGCAGGCACAGTCACCAACCAGCTGAGCAGACCTCCGCGAGGTCTGTGCATTCACACGGGATTGTTCCCGCAGCCAGGGGCAGAAACAACCCGAGACCACCCGTGGCTAGACGGGGAGACAAATGTAGTGTGTGAACGTACTAGAGTATTATCTATCCTTAAAAAGGAAGGAAATTCTGAATTCCAGCTTAGGCTATGACTTGGACAAACTTGAGGCCATGATGCTAAGTGAATGATCTGGTTATAAAGGATGAATAGTGAGGTTTCCAGTCAGAGGAGGTCCCCAGAGAATCACAGCACAGAACGGAAAGTGGGTCGGTGGATGCCGAACCGAGTGGAGAGGGTGGGAGCTCCTGTTAATGGGACAGAGTTTCAGTTGTACAAGATGAAGAAAGCTCTGGGGATGAACAGTGGTGATGGCTGTACAACAATGAAAGTGGAACTGAACGTGTGCAAAATGATTAAAATCATTTTATTGAATTTTATATTATGTGTGTTTTGCCACACGCACAAAAGAGGCATTCTAAAGACGACCCTTGTTTAAGGATCTCATGAGCACCCAGCTGTTTGTTCTGGAAGCCTCTGAGAGCCACAGCGTGGGTTCCATGATCCGCAGCCATGCCCACGGGCAAATGGTGTCCATTCATTACCCCAACCTTTCAGTAAATCAAAAGTGTTGATTTAATTACTGGAAGAAACTATTATCAAAGTATAGGGGGAAGCCTTCTCTAGTAAGTGGCCTACCATATTTTCATTTGTACTAGAGTCTCCCTAGAAACATCAGTATAGTGTTTTAAGTTTGCTTCTGGATCCAGATTTTCAAAGTATAATTTAAAAACCCAAGCTATCAAATACTTCATAAAGTTTGTTAACTTTCAAGCAGGTTAGTTTGCCTGCTCTTCCATTGCTTGCCTCATCCATTTATTAAGTGCCAGGCTCTCAGCAAAATGCTGGGATTCCAAGGTGAATCTGCACAGTCCAAGCTTCAGGGGCCGGGTGTGGAAGGAGAGCAGACAGGTGTGCACAGGGGGTGTCAGCCTGTAGGGTGGGGGATGTGGCTCAGAGGCTTCATGCAAGGGGGACGTCCTCAGGGCTGAGGCCAGGAGAGCCCAGGAGGAATTCACCAGACAGACAGGAGTTGGGAGCACAGTGCCCTGCACCCAGAGGGCGTATAAACTGCCAAGGTGGGGTCAGTTGCCTTGGAGGTTTTACAAGGAGAAAGCAGAGATTAGTAGAATTTTAAGAGTGATGGTACTGTCTCAAGAAGGAAAAGGAATTATCACTCCGGGTGAAATGTGGGCTCTTGGCCACCCTTATCAGACGTGCAGAACTCAGTGCTGAGATTTGCGAGATCTACAGTCGAGATGTGGCTGCTTCATCACAGCAAGAAATGAGTCAGAGAACAAGGAAACTAAAGCCTGCTCTGGGCAGCAGTTCTGAGACTCGTCCTTCACTGTCCCACCACACTCCCCTTTTGAGTCATTTTTTCACTTAGACATGATGATCTTGAAAAGAAAAAGAACCTTGCTCTTCTACCTCTTTGAGAAAGAACCCTCTGATGTAGGCTGCAGGTGCTGCCGTCGGGGGCCGGGGGCTCGGAATCACCCCTGCAGAGGGCTGTTCTCGTGATCCTACACCTTTCAAGGGACAAGAAAATGTCCTGTCTCACAGATGTGGGAAATAAAACAGGTCGGGCAGAATGATCGTAAATCATCCAGAAAGGATTTACTAGACAGAAAGGACGGTGATGCACCTTCCATGGGGCAGAGTGTTGCCTCGCTCAGCTCCTGAGCCCCATCGGGACCAGGTCCTGCTGAGGGCACAGAGGTAAACCCTGTGTCCCCACAGGCTCCACAGTCTCACTGGGGAAGGACATGACAGAAATAGAACTAAATGAACATTTAAAAATAGTGAATCAATACTTACTGAATGCTGATGACATGGGGCCCCATCTCAGTGCTTTGCGTGTAACTTGGCTGCACCCCGGGCTGTGTGTTTCATTACCCCACTGTGCAAATGAGGAAAGTTGAGTGTGAGTAGGTGACTCATCCTGGGTCCCAGAGCTAAGAAGTCTCAGAGCAGAATGCTGTCCCCCAAGGTCTTGCCCTGGGCCACTAACCCAGAGAGTCTCAGCCCTGGCTGCACGTGATAAGACTTAGTGAGTGGACCTAAAGAGTGCCAGTGCCCAGGCCCTTCTCCAGACCAGCTGAGTCCTATTATCTGGGGGCTGATGCATCTGGGGGCTGAGGCATCAGGGCTCTCTCAACGCTCTGGCTCTGCCGCTGTCCAGGTGACTGTGGGCCTCTGAGCAAGGACAGATGCTCCTGAGACTCTGCAGTAAAGTGAAAAAGTGTGTCAGTAACTACAGTGTAGAAAGGGCAGGAATCCACAGGGGAGGATCCCTGCAGAAAGATTTGAAAGGAGTAACACTCGAGTCTCCCAGCGTGAGCTTCCACCCTCTCACCGAGAAACCTTCCACTTCCTTTATTTCAAGAACTTTCAGAGTGTAAGAACACAATCAGCTCCCCTGTGGACTCACCCAACCCCTGAATAGACTGTGGGACTCACACAGGGCACAGTTTCAGGTATAAGAGAGCTAATGAGGAGGATGACATGTTATTTGGCCTGGACCACATGCTGCAGGAGCCAACCCAGGGAGCCCTGGGGAGGTTGTACCCTCTGCAGTGGCACCTGTGGTCTCCTTCAGTTGAGGCCCAGGTGCCAGAGGCTGCCCCGGAGTGGAAGTGATGGCTGGGCAGCGCCGACGGGATGGCTTGAGGAGGTCTGGGTAACTCAGGGGCAATTGGTGGGTTGTCCCTAGTGACAGAGCACCCCTATACCAGAGGCCCTGCTCTCCACAAGTGAGCTGAGGAGCACACAGCATGGGTCACACCCCTCAAGGAAAGGCCCCCAGTACCCTGTGCCAATCTTAAAACCACAACTGCCATTTCCAACTTTTCTCTCTTATCAATAAAAGTGGTGTTTGCAACAACAGACTGAAAAAGTTGCAGATCATCAATCGGCCTGGACCCTTAGTCAAACAGCACCGCTTTGCAGGCTGTTGTCCCCTGGTGTCCTCTGTTTGAAGCTGACGATCACATACACATGGGAACAGGTGTGTGGTGACATGCTGAGACGGTCACCGCACTGCACCAGTGGCACACGGATTGCAGACACCACCGCTCCAGCCACGCTAGGCACTGATACTCTCACTTGCCCCTCATTTTTTTCTTGTCACAGACGTTATGCGATTTAGATGGACTTGCATTTTGTGAGATGATTAAACTTTGAATCGTGTCTTCCTTTTAAACTTGGATGTATCATTTTCTTGTCATAAACATCTCTTCCAGCAAATAATTTGTTTTGACTTTAAAATAAAGTTTATATTTCACCCGAGTGTGTGCCAGGAGAAATGACTTCCTGTATTGTGTACTGACAGTGGGGAGGAGGAACTCAGCTCCTCACTTCCTATGTAAATCAGTTGCACTCATGATGAACTTGCTATATTCCAATCGCAGATTTGTAAGTACCTCATTTCATTTACGCTTATAAAGTCAGAAGATGGGGGTGGCAGCTGGAATCAGGCAGCTGTTTTCTGGTGCCCTGGAGGGGTTGGGAGAGCTCAGAGCAGCTGGTGGGGACACGGCCTGAGGAGCAAGATCTCGGCAGAAGTGATGGTTCGGACTGTGTGAGGTGACCAGACCTGGGAGGGCGGCTGAGCAAAGGAGTCTTCCCTAGACTGAAGGGGCTTACGAGTTTGGGGCCGAGGACACTGGGCTAGTCTCTCAAAGTGGGAAAGGTCCATTCCTGGGGTTGTAGGAGAGAGAAGCTCCAGCCTGCTGCTGAGGGAAGCGGTGGGAAGACGCCTCCGAGGAAGGAATGAGCAGGGACCAGGTCATCGGCTGGTCTGGCTGTTGGGACCTTGGATTGCCCTTCCTTGGGGGACATACTCTTGGGTGGTATCTTCTCCATCACTGTGGCTAAATTATTCATTCTTACATTATGTACAGTTAGAATTTATGAATCAATATATCTGTCTATAAACAGGCAACATTTTGTTAGAATTTGAGTTGTCTTTGTAAATCAGGACCCTGGCCCCAGGTTCCCAAGATTCCGGAAGGCTCTGTCTGGACCTACCTTGGTCATCCTCTTTGTGACAACACAGCCCCACAGCGTCCTTTCAGTAGGAGGGAGGAGATGTGACTCTGGAGGCTCCCAGGGAGGATCCTCTTGCGTTAGGGAAGCCTATGGAACCAGCACTACCACTGGCCCCAGAGGAGGCATTTTCCTCTCCACGTCTTCACTGAGTCACAAATGTGCCCCAGGGGGCCACCTGTCTGGTCAGCTCAGGACTTGAACTCAAGGTGGCCGAAGGTTTGCTTTGGGTCCCTCAGGCGGTGTCTGCCTAGGAGTTGCTGCTAAAGGAGCTGAGAAAGCTTCAGCTCTGTGCTCAGGTCATCCACTCTTGCCTGGGATGTGCTGACCGTGGCCAGCATGCAGGTGTCACGCTAATGTGCTCAGGCCATCCATGCTTGCCCGGGATGTGCTGCCCATGGCCAGCATGCAGGTGTGATGCTGATTTTCTATGATTAATGCGCTTTCTACAGATTGTCGAGGAGTCACTGTGAGTACCTGCTCAGTACCTGCCCCTGTTCTCTGGTGTCCAAATTTGGGCACATCCCTCCCTCGGGTCAGCTTCTGGCTTGGGGTGTCAGTCCCCTAGGGTGAGGGGAGCTCTATGAGGAGAATGGGGGCCACCAGCTGGCCCTGGGCAGGAAGTCGGGGCACATTGGAGTTCCACAGCCCTCTCTTTCCCCACCAGAATGCTTCCAGGCTGCCTCACAGCCAGGGAGCCAGCAGAGGCCAGCGTCCCAGAGGACCCAGGAACAGAGGCCCAGCCCGAGAGGACAGCCATGGCAGCTGGGATCCCCAGGGAGGACAAGATAGCCGAGGAGATGATGGTGAGCTGAGTTCTGTGAGGTCCCGGGTTGTGACTTATAGTGGACTCCTGTCCTTCAGAGCCCCCCCCATCCTAATGCCCCTTTGTTTTAACCACCTGGCAAGGCCACTTTAGTGTTGCGCTGACACTGGACATTTGTAGAGAGCTTCCTCTTGGGAGAACCGCAAGCCTCTTTTCCCCTCTACAGCTTTCTCTCTTGACGACTGATGGGAGGGAGGGGAGTTAAATGGACTGTTCATACAAAGTCTGACAATTAAGTCCAGAAACTCACCCTAGAAAATGTGCCCCATGCCTCCCTGCTGAATACACTGGGTCGCCTTCCAAGGGTTCCCCTTGGGACGCTGTTCACTAATGCTAGCACCTAGTCCACCTTCAGTGAAACTTTGGAACTCTATCTGGAATCACCGTCAGAACTGCCATTCTTTGTATTACCCTTGATGTCCGGAATGTCATCAAAATGTCTTTCTTTCAATATTTACTTTATCTTTGGGAAAAGAAAAAGTCATTGGGGGCCAGATCAGGTGACTCGGGAGGGAGTTTCAATACAATTTTTTGTTTATGGGCTAAAATCCTCCCTCACAGACTGTGCCAAGGAAGCTGGCACATCATTGTGATGCCAGAGCCGTGAGCTATTGGCAACAAATTTAGGCTGTTTCCATTTAACTTTTTCATACAGCATTCTCAGCACTTCCAAATAGTAAACAATTGTCCAGTTGGTTCAAATTCTTCATAAACAATCCTATTGATATCAAAAATGGTTAGCAACATTGTTTAGACTCTTGATTTGGACTGATGGAAGATTTTTGGTCATGGAGAATTGGGCAATTTCCATTACGCATATGGACGCTTTGTTTCTGGGTCATTTTGGTACAACCGTGTCTCGTTACCAGTGATAACCAGGCCCCAAACATTGGCTTGCCTCTCCAAAACGTCTGAGCAAACTTGCCTCTCCTTTGCTTTTGTTCTTGGTGAGCTCTCTAAGGACACACCTTTTTCATGCCCAGATTTTCAGTTAAGATTTTCCTGCTTCTCTATCCAAGCACAGAGATCTACTCTGCTTCTCATAGTCAGCTGATGATATCGATGCACAATTTGACAAATTTTCACAATGTTTTTATCAGTTCTGCTCATCACCGACCACCTTGACCTCTGTTCATCAGTGACACTTTCTCTTCCCTCAGAAAAATATTTAATCCATTTGTACACTGCCTTTTCTTCATGGCATTATCCTCAGAAACTTGGACTAACATGGCCCTGATTTCATTTCCACTCTTGCCAAGTTTAACAAGAAACTTGATGTTTGTTTGTTGCTCTAATTCAAGCTCTGACATTCTCAAGAGAGCACAAAACACACAGCCACAATGGCAAACGTCACTCAGCAAGGCACTGCCAAATGTCAACATGAACACAGCTGTGAGATGCTGATACGCCAGGGTTGCAAAACCTTACCGAGCTGTTTGTACAGTGCTGCCAATGTAAGCATTTGGTGCAAGTTCACAAACTTAATTGTCATACCTCATATTCCAGCTTCTCTCTCCTGATCCAGCAAAGCCACAAGGCTTTAAAAACTTGGTGCAACAACCCTCCCAACCTTTAACCAGCACCCACATCTGGCCTTCACCTTCTGTCACAGCCCCACCCATTCTCAGAACAAGGCAGGAGCCTCTACTGGGTCAAATTAAGGACCCCTGGGACAGGCAGTATGGGGGGTGTAGATGCTACAGCTTTGGCACTTGTCACACGGGCGGCCATGTAGCCAAACCAGTGCTGTGCAGATCTGGGGCTGAGAGGTGTCAGCTGCTGCTCTGATGCTGTCAGTGGGATCCAGGGCCCACCCCAGGTGCTTATCTGGGCCAGAGACTCTGAGCCCACGACACACCATGAAGTGAGGCCCCACCCACCTATGTAGGAGCAGGTGCCTGCTGAGGTCACTGCTCTAGCACAGTGTGAATGCAGCATGATACCACAGCTTCTGAGTCTGAAGCCACATTTGGGGGAGCCCTTGGCAAAGAGCTCAGAGTCTGGTAGGGAGATAGACCAGGGATTTGACCAACAGACCCACTCCAAGTTCCCTGGTTCTATGCTTATTACACCCCTTTGCTCCAAAGCCCACAGCACTAGACTTCACAGGTTATTAGAATAATTTCTGGGAGAAAAAATGAATATTAATTTAATTTAAAATTAAAATGCAATTACTTTCCCACTGCTTCTAGAATTAACTAAGAGGATAGTAGTATCACTAATTTTTCCTCAAATTGTGTGTTATTTTCTCATTAAATTTACTTGATTTGCAATATGATGCCACCTACTTTTCAGAAATAATCTTTATAAAAGGAAAATACTGTAGAAGAAGAAAAATAAGGTCCAGACACAGTGGCTTAAACTGTAATCCCAGCACTCTGGGAGGCCAAGGCAGGTGGATCACTTGAGCTCAGGAGTTTGAAACCAGCCTGAGCTAGAGCGAGACCTCATCTTTAAAACTAGCTGGGCATCATGGCAGGCACCTGTAGCCGCAGCTACTTGGGACACTGAGGTAGGAGGATCACTTGAGCCCAAGAGTTTGAGCTTGCTGTGAGCTATGACACCACAGCACTCTACTGAGGTGACAAAGTGAGACTTTGTTTCAAAAAAAAAAAGAAAAATAAGTTTTTCTTTAGCCCTTATAGGTTCTTAGTTGGGACACAGCCCTGAAATAGAAGACAGATTAACAGGAAAACCAATGAAGGTTTCTAAACATGTGTATTCCACAGATGCCTGAAGGACAGGGGGACTGGGCTGTCCTCAGAGCGGCTCTGAGCTCCAGTTCTTTGTGGACAAAGAGCAGTGAGTTTTAGAGCAGACCCAGGACAGAGGAAGAGGATGTAGGATCTCAGGCCAGCCCCTGGGGGAAAGGCCGAGTTGGCAGGTGAAGACATGTGGTGACACCTGTCCATGTAGCCTCCTCTGGCTCCGTGAGGAGGACGACGCCTTTGTCCTGATTTTAGGCAACTAGAGAGAGGGGAGGGGGATACTCCCGCCTTCAGCTCAACAATTCATCATATATTTTAGTGTCATATTCTGGTTTTCACGATACATTTTGTGAGTTTTAGGTTTTTTTAAATTTATTTTCTTGATTCTGAGATTCTCTATTAAATTGCTTCTGATGTATACAGATCAATATCTCGTTTTCTGAAAAAAACTTTGACTTTTACATACAAGAATGGTATCTTAATCCGCCCAACAGATAATAATTCTTTTATTTTAAGTCTGTTTTGTACATTAATAGGAAAAGCTGTGTGACATGAAGATGAGCATAATTTAACAAAATAAGCACAAAAGAAATAGAGAACACTCATCCAGCCTTTCCCAAATGCTGGTCTCTGTGCTGGATGTTCTGCACTCAGCATCGGTTTTAATGCTCAAAATAACAATCTGAAGCCATTTTGTATCTTCATTCTGGGTAAGAGAAACTGAGGCCCAGAGAGGTTAGGTGACTTACCTGAGGTCACACAGCTAGGAAGTGGTGAAGCTGGTGTTAGAGGCTGGGCCTGACCCATTTCAGAACTCATGGCTGTACCTGCTGCCATGCCACTCCCGAGATAAAAAGTTATGAAGAAGAGAAAGAAGGAAAGGGAATTCCAGCCTCTTTTTGCTGCAGTAAGATTTTAACAAAGAATATTAATTAGCCAACCCTCTATGGCCATATTACATGGAATTTATAAAGGGCACTCCTTAATAAAAGTGGTTATAGCTGTTTATGTCATCGGGTGTCTTTGGTCTAGAAACACGCAGTCTCTATCAGAGAGGGCGGGAGAGATCTGTAGACAGGTGCACTGACAGTGTGTCTGAGAGGCTGTCTGCTGTTCTCTTCCTGACAACAGTGCTTACGGCAGCAGATTGCTGGACTCCAGCAAGAGCTTGGGAGACAGGTGTCTCTCTGGTCCGACACCTGCAGCAGACTCCAGAGTCAGATGGACATTTTGCAGAAGCAGAACCGGGAGCTCCTGCAGGAGCTGAGGGCCTCGGGGCTGTGGCTGCGAGGAGCCAGACACACAGTGGCAGCCCCCCTGCACCCGGAACTTCAGCCAGACACTCTGGTACCAAAAGACCCTTTTATTAATTTCAAAATATTAAGGGGATATAAATGGTTTTGTGGCTTGGCTGTGGCTCAAGTGGCTAAGGCACCAGCCACATATACCTAAGGTGGCATGTTCGAATCCAGCCTGGGCCTGCCAAACAACAATGATGGCTGCAACCAAAAAATAGCCAGGTGTTGTGGCGGGCACCTATGGTCCCAGCTACTTGGGAGGCTGAGGCAGGAGTCTTGCTTGAGCCCAGGAGTTGGAGGTTGCTGTGAGCTGTGATGCCATGGCACTCTACCCAGGGGGACAGCTTGAGGCTGTCTCAAAAAAAAAAAAAGGTTTCGTTACATGGGTAGTTTTTATAATGCTGAGTCAGGGCTATTTATGTGCTCATCACCCAAATAGCACTTACTGCACTTGTTAGGTGATTCTCACCCCTCTCCCCTTTTTGATTTCCAATGACTTTTTTATTTCTCTCTGTGCCAACATGGGTCCATTGATTAGTTCCAAATTATTTGAGATACATGAGGGGCTTGTTTCTCCATTCCTGAGATACTTTACTTAGGGTAATGGTCTCTAGTTCCATCCAAATTGCTGAAAAAGACATTGCTTTATTTCTCTTCACCGTGGGGTAGACGCCACAGTGTACATGTGCCACGTTGTGCTAATCCACTCCTGAACTGATGGGCACTTAGGATGGTTCCACATCTGCAATTGTGAGCTAGGCTGCCGTCCAGAAGCCTTTTTCCCTCTTGTTTTTTCCTTTCTTCAGCACATCCAGGATGCAGAAATCAAAAGGTTTTCTTGCATCCTTGCATTACAGTGGCATCATTATAAAGGCGCATGCCGATCCCTGGGGGTCCGTGGGGTCCCTCACCCTCTAGGTCGTGGGAGGGCTGGCTGTCTTCTGATCAACTCCCCTTCCTGTAGTAATAACAAGAAAAACACTGGCTAGCTCGGGCCTCTCACTGGGAGCTCTAGCGGACAGGAGCACAGGCCCTCCTGACCGGCTGCCCCCTGTGGCCCTGCATCCCTCCCCAGACAAGCACCTGCCTTTTTGACCAAATTGCACTGCTGTCCACCCTGAGCACACTTACCACAGAGATGACTGGAGGGGCTGGGCAGCACCCTGGGCCTTTTTCCCAGGAGGGGAAGGTATTTTAAGTGGCTCCTTCTCTTCTACTCATACCTGCCTCCTTCAGCTTCATGCCCTTCCTGTGCGCCCACCCTGTGTCCCCATCATTGCTGTCATGCATTTGCTATCACTCCTTGTGAGCCAAGGAGAGTGAGCCAGTAAGCTGGCCACCTTCCTGTTTCGCTGCTCACCATGAGATACAGGCCTTGTCACGTGCAGGTGTGTGTCGGGCACTTTACTCTGCTGGGGTGTGAGGACCATGAGCTTCCTAATGCCCGGCTGTGTTTGATCTAATACGCTCCTTGTCTGTCTGGCGAATGCTGACCTCTGGGCCCACACTGGCCTTTTCTAGCTGCATCTGCCACCCCAGAACTAGCACCTCCCCTAGCCCTAGCTCTGTCACTCAGCTGTGCAGTGGTTTTTGCATGTGGGGCCCACCAGCAGGACAAAAGGGCACTGCTGGGTGACACGCCCCGCAGGAAACTATCAAGTGAGATGGAGATAAGTGGGTGACCACAGGTGTGGCTGCCCCTGCAGAGTGCACCCCACGTGGGGCTTCTGGCTTGAACTCCTGTGCCCAGGCTGCTGCGGCCCTGTCACCTCTGTCTGCTCCACTCCTCACACCCACACCCAGCATGGCCTGGCGCAGCTCAGTCCTCCCCCAGTCTGTGCAGACAGCTCTTAGCCTCTGCAAGGCCTCTTCCCGCGGCGAGACCGATGCCGCTGCTCTTGGCTCAGCCCCCAGAGCTCCTCGGCCCTTTGCATGGAAAGGAGACCCTTCACCCTGCGGCCTGTGTTGGCCTGGCACCTCCCCACAGGCCCCAAGACCAGGCCTCCATCACTTGTTGGTGCCTTTGCACTTTCTGCTACTTAGCGCCTCCTCCCCATGAGCTGGCAAGGGCTGCAGCCCCTCCAAGGCTGACTGGCTGTGGTGGAATACCCCCTGGGGAAGCTTCTCAAGCCCCCCACTGTGCCCCCTTTCTGTTCATATGGCAGTACGCCTATTGTCACACGGGTCCTGCTCTTGGTCCATCTCCTGCAGCCTCTGGGCTGAGACAATGCCTTTTCTTTGGTCAGTTCCCTAAATCATCATATTGCTCGAAAAAAGCGTGATGTCAACAAATATTTATTGAATGTATTTATTAAAGAATTCCTTTTTTACCTGTCACTTGTTGAACTGACCTGACATTTGTATAATAATCTCATGGAAAAAAGAGAACCAGTTCATGCTTAAATCACATTTAACAATTCCATTAGGACAATGTTATTTTCAAGATGTACACGCATTATCCTTTACATTTAATTTCTTTGCTTTTGAGCTCGTCAGAGAGCTCTGAGGCACATTTCTCGTCTGGGTTCAAGGTGATGGGCTCACTGGCCTTCTAACAGGGTGCTCCACAAGGGCAGATGCCCACCCCAGGCAGAGGGACTTGTAGGGGTCCCACCCCAGGCAGGGGGACTCGGAGGGGTCCCACCCCAGGCAGGGGGACTCGTAGGGGTCCCACCCCAGGCATGGGGACTCGTAGGGGTCTCCCCGCAGGCAGGGGGACTCGGAGGGGTCCCACCCCAGGCAGGGGGACTCGGAGGGGTCCCACCCCAGGCAGGGGGACTCGGGGGGGTCCCACCCCAGGCAGGGGGACTCGGGGGGGTCCCACCCCAGGCAGGGGGACTCGGAGGGGTCCCACCCCAGGCAGGGGGACTCGGGGGGGTCCCACCC